TTTTGGCTGTACTGACCAGGGAAAAAAAGGGAGAGATTCAAACACTAAAATCAGGAATGAAAGAGGAGATATCACTACCCAGCTTTCAGAAATAAAAATAATTAGAGTGCTATACACAATTGTATGCTAACTAATTAGATAACCTAGATAAAGGGGACAGATTTCTAGAAAAACACAAATCAAAAGTGATTCACGAAGAAATAGAAAATATGAAAAACCTTCAGCAAGTAAAATGATTGAATTAGTTACATTATTTTATTTTTATTTCTTATTTATCTTTATTTCTTGAGACAGAGTCTTGCTCCATCACCCAGGCTGGAGTGCAGTGGTTCGATGTTGGCTCACTGCAACTTCCAACTCCTGGGTTCAAGCAATTCTCCCGTCTCAGCCTCCTGAGTAGCTGGAACTATAGGTACACGACACTACACCCAGCTAATTTTTGTATTTTTAATAGAGATGAGGTTCACCATTCAGTCAGGCTGGTCTCAAACTCCTGACCTCAGGTGATCCACCTGCCGTGGCCTCCCAAAGTGCTTTGAGTGTAGGCATGAGCCACCATGCCCAGCCAAATTCGTAATTTTAAAAGAAAGAAAAATCCCAGACCAGATGGCTTTACTGGTGAATTTTACCAAACATTTAAGCAACAATTAACACTAATCCTTCTCAAACTTTGCAGAAAATATAAGCAGAGTTTAGACATAGTAAATAATTTTATAAGGCCCAGGTGCCCTGCTGCCAAAACCAAAAAAACTATAGACCAATATTGACATAAAAACTCTCAACAAAATACTAGCAAACTGAATTAAACAATATATAGAAAGGATTATCTACTATGACCAAGTGGAATTTATCCCAGGAATGAAAGGTTGTCATAATATATAAAAATCAAAATAATATACCACATTAATAAAGTATCAAAACTATATGAGCATCTCAATTGATGTAGGAAAAGCTTTTCACAGAATACCAATCCCTTTTCATTATTAAAACATAATAAACTAGGAATAAAGAGAAATTTCCTCAACTTCATAAAAGCCGGCTGTGACAAACTCACAGCTAACATCTTATTTAGTTGAGAAAAACGGAGTGCTTTCTCCCTGAGATCAAGACAAGAATGTCTATTCTGACCATTTTTACCCAATATTTTACTGGAAGTTCTATCTTTTTTTTTTTTTTGAGAGGGAGTCTTGCTCTGTCACCCAGGCTGCAGTGCGGTGGCTTGATCTTGGCTCACTGCAACCTCTGCCTCCCAGGCTCAAGCAATTCTTCTGTCTCAGCCTCCCTGGTAGCTGGGATTAAGGCACATGCCACCACACCTGACTAATTTTTGTATTTTTAGTAGAGATTGGGTTTCACCATGTTGGCCAGGCTGATTTCGATCTCCTGACCTTGTGATCTGTCCACCTAAGCCTCCCAAAGTGCTGGGATTATAGGCATGAGCCACCACGCCAGCCTGGAAGTTCTATCTCTAGTCACAGGTAGCATCATTTCATATAAACAAAATCCTAAGGAATTCACACAAACACACACACACATACAAACTATTAGAACAAACAAAACAAGTGCAGCAAGGTTGCAGGATACAAGATCAATATATAAAATTCAATTGTCATTCCATACACTAGCAATAAAAGTCCAAAAATGAAATTAAGAAAACAATAGCATCAAAAAAGAATATGACTCAGTAACAAAGTAACATTCAGTAACTTTCACAGAAGGGTAAGACTTGTAGGCTGAAAATTATAAACATTGTTGGAAGAAATTAAAGAAGCTCTAAATAAATGGAAACACATTTTATATGCATGGATTAGGAGATTTAATATTATTAATATGGTGACACCCCCTTTCTTGATCTATAGATTCAAGGTAATCCCAATTAAAATTCACCTGCTTTTGTTTTTTCAGATATGGACAAGCTGATCTTTTTTTTTTTATTATTTTACTTTAACTTCTAGGATACATGCACAGAATGTGCAGCTTTGTAACATAGGTATACGTGTGCCATGGTGGCTTGCTGCACCCATCAACCCATCATCTAGGTTTTAAGCCCCACATGCATTAGTTATTTGTCCTAATGCTCTCCCTCCTCTTGTCCTCCTACCCCCTGACAGGCCCCAGTGTGTGATGTTCTTCTCCAAGTGTCCCTTTGTTCTCACTGTTCAAATCCCACTTATGAGTGCGAACATGTGGTGTTTGGTTTTCTGTTCCTGTGTTAGTTTGCCGAGAATGATGGCTTCCAGCTTCATCCATGTCCCTGCATAGGACATGAACTCATTCTTTTTTATGGCTGCATGGAATTCCATGGTATATATGTGCCATATTTTCTTTATCCAGTCTATCATTGATGGGCATTTGGGTTGGTTCCAAGTCTTTACTATTGTAAATAGTGTTGCAATAAACATACATGTGCATGTGTCTTTACAGTAGAATGATTTATAATATTTTGGATATATACCCAGAACTGGGATGGCTGAGTCAAATGGTATTTCTAGTTCTAGATCCTTGAGGAATCACCACACTGTCCTTATTTAAGAAATGGTGCTGGGAAAGCTGGCTAGCTACATGCAGAAAACAGAAACTGGGCCCATTCCTTACACCTTATACAAAAATTAACTCAGCATAGATTAAAGACTTAAATGTAAAATCTAAAACCATAGAAGAAAACCTAGGCAATACCATTTAGCACATAGGCATGGGTAAAGTCTTCATGACTAATACACTAAAAGCAATTGTAACAAAAGCCAAAGTTGACAAATGGAATCTAATCAAACTAAATAGCTTCTGCACAGCCAAAGAAACTATCATCAAAGGGATCAATATGGTAACACACCCATGTGCATCAGGAGTTCAAGACCAGCCTGGCCAACATGGTGAAACCCTGTCTCTACTAAAAATACAAAAGCTAGCTGTGCGTGGTGGTAGGCACGTGTAATCCAAGCTACTCATGAGCCTGAGGCAGGAGAATCACCTACAGAATGGGAGAAAATTTTTGCAATCTATCCGTCTGATCAAGGTCTAATATCCAGAGTCTACAAGGAACTTAAACAAAATTTGCAAGAAAAAAACAACCCCATCAAAAAATGGGCAAAGGATATGAACAGACACTTTTCAAAAGAAGACATTTATGCGGCCAACAAACAATGAAAAAAAGCTCATAATCACTGGGCTATTAGAGAAATCTAAATCAAAATCACAATGAGATACCATCTTACTCCAGTTAGAATGACGATCATTAAAAAGTCAGAAAACAATAGATGCTGGTGAGGCTGTGAAGAAATAGGAACACTTGTACACCGTTGGTGGGGATGTAAATTGGACAAACTGATTCTAAGAATTCAACTGGAGTTGCAAGAGACTCTGAGTAGCCAAAGCAGTTGAAAAAAACAAAACTCAAAAACTCACACTTGCTGAATTCAAGGCTTACCATAAAGCTATAATAATTAAGACACTGTGTTACTGGCATATAGATAAATGGAATTGAATAGTGACTCTAGAAATAAAGGATAGACATATAGATCAATGGAATTGAATAGTGACTCCAGAAATAAACCTTATATGTGTTGTCAGATTGATTTTTGACAAGGGTACTGTGATGGTTAATTTTATGTTTCAGCTTGGCTACGCTGTTGGTCAAACAACAGTCTAGATGTTGCTGTGAAAGTATTTGTGGATATGATTTAACATTTATAATCTATTGACTTTAAGTAAAGCATATTACCCTCCATAAGGTGGGTGGGTTTCATCTAATCAGGTGAAGGCCTTAAAAGCAAGGATGGAGGTTTCCGGGGGAAGAAAGAGTTCTGCTACAAGACCACAGCACAGAAATCCTGCCTGAATCTCCACCTGCTGGCTTGCCCTTCAGATTTCAAACTGAAGACTGCAACAGCAACTCATACCTGAATTTCCAGCCTGCTAGCCTGCCCTCCAGGATTTGAACTTGCCATCTCTCATAATTATGTAGCAGATTCCTTAAAATAAATCTCGATCTTTTTTTTTTTTTTTTTTGAGACAGAGTCTCACTCTGTCACGCAGACTGGAGTGCAGTGGCATGATCTTGGCTCACCGCAACCTCTGCCTCCCAGGCTAAAGTGATTCTTGTGCCTCAGCCTCCTGAGTAGCGGCGACTACAGACGTGTGTTACCATACCCAGCTAATTTTTTGTATTTTTAATACAGACGGTTTCACCATGTTGGCCAGGCTGGTCTCCAACTCCTGACCTCAAGTGATCTGCCTGCCTGGGCTTCCCAAAGTGCTGGGATTACAGGTGTGAGCCACTGTGCCCAGCCTATTTCTTATTGGTTCAGTTTCTCTTGAGAACCCTGGCTAATATAGGAACCATGACCGTTCACTGTGGAAAGATTGTTGCCAGTACAACTTGATATCCACATGCATTAGAATAAAGTTGGACCCATACTTCACGTCATACAAACTTCAAAATGGATCATGGACTAAATGGAAGAGCTAAACTATAAAATTCTTACAAGAAAATATAGGACTAAATCTTCATTGCTTTGGGGTAGGCAATCATTTTTTGCTATGACATCAAGATCACAAAAGGCAAAAAAGGAACATAGATACGTTCGACTTCACAAAATTAAAACCTTTGTGCTTTTAAAGACACCATCAAGAAAGTGACAAGACAACCCATAGAATGGGAGAAAATATATACAAATCATATATATTTTTTCAGATGAAGTCTCACTCTGTCGCCCAGGCTAGAATGCAGTGGCGTGATCTCAGCTCACTGCAGCCTCTGTCTCCCAGGTTCAAGCAATTCTCCTGCCTCAGCCCCCAATTAGCTGGGATTACAGATGTGCGCCACCATGCCCAGCTAATTTTTGTATTTTTAGTAGAGACAGGATTTTGCCATGTTGGCCAGGCTATGAACTTCTGACCTCAAGTGGTCTACTTGCCTTGGCTTCCCAAAGTGCTGGGATTACAGGCATGAGTCACTGCACCTGGCCACAAATCATATATCTTTTTTTTTTTTTTTAATTCAGTCTCCATAGAGACTGTCAAAAATTGCCAGTGCCAATCATATTTCAAGTCGTCATAGCGAGATATTGGGGAAAGTTTTCAATGAGCAATAATCACACCTTGGATAAACCTCATTGGCTACGATACTGCCACTGTACAAAGCTCACAAATCATGTATCTTATTAAGGGAATTACATTGAGAATATATAAAAAACCCTAAACCCAATAACAAAAGACAACCCAATTAAAAAATGGGTAAAACATTTGAATAGACATTTCTCCAAAGAAAATATACAAATGAGCCGGGCGCGGTGGCTCAAGCCTGTAATCCCAGCACTTTGGGAGGCCGAGGCGGGTAGATCATGAGGTCAAGAGATCGAGACCATCCTGGTCAACATGGTGAAGCCCCGTCTCTACCAAAAATACAAAAAATCAGCTGGGCATGGTGGCGCGTACCTGTAATCCCAGCTACTCAGGAGGCTGAGGCAGGAGAATTGCCTGAACCCAGGAGGCGGAGGTTGCGGTGAGCCGAGATCGCGCCA